GATGCATCCACACAATTTCACAGTAACCATGAGATAAATCATAAAACAAAGTTCAGGAATATTCCTTTATCCCATTGTTTTGCAAATCTATGTACATTACAAACTGTATGATTGGTTGAAGAAAAATGTATCTGTACCAGGCTCTTAAATGTTTTAGTTAAACACCTTGTTGTGGCGGCGGCAGCGCAATGTGCCATGCGGCCTCCTGTCCCATTGCGCAGCCAGGTGGGACGGAGTAGGCAGGGTCCTAACTAGGGCTTATTTTTGGAGTAGGGCTTATATTAGGCCCACCCCAACAAATCAGGGTAGGTCTTTTTTTCACGGTAGGGTTTATTTTTAGGGAAACACGATATTAATCTAAAATCGGTTCTGATATTGCTGTTTTACTAACCTGACAACTTATTATTCTAAATAGGAAACCTTCATTTTGTTTGCAAATAATATTAAAGATTCTAACCGCCAGCAAGAATGAGTCCTTACATTTAAAGAGCACCTGTCATTTCAGATCCGTCATGGCAGCGCCAGTTAGTGGGCATCCACTCACCTGCTGCCCGCCACGTCCCTGACCTTGTCACTGCCGCATCACCAGCTGTCCCATTAAAGTGAATGGGACTGCTGGTGAGTCAACAGCGGGTCAGAGGAGGAGCCACTGTGGGACAGAGATGACAGTTGCTCTTTAAAAATTATGACTTAAATCGAGTTGATTTAAATCAAGCCTTTTTACTAGTGATTGAAATCATGATTGAAATCGTGATTTAAATCGACTTGATTTAAATCAAATCCACCCTGTTTTCCTGGGTCTGTTTTTTCTTTCTTTCTTGAAGATGGGAACCATATCAGACCTTTTCCAATCCTTGAGTACTTCCTCGCTGCTCCAGGATTTTTGAAAGATGTGGTGCAATGGTTCTGAGATAACATCTGCCAGCTCCTTCAGAACTCTGGGATATAATCTGTCAGGTCCCAATGATTTCTATTAATCAAGGTTGGATAGGTGTTCTCTTACCATTTTCTTGCTTATTTTAATATTTGTTTCTAGTTTGTCTTTTGCAGTAGGTTTTTTTGGTATGTTGGGCTATAATTTCTTTTTGTGTGAAGACTGATGCAAAGAATGAGTTAAGCAGCTCTGCTTTCTCCCTACTGCCTGTTACTTCCTTGCCATCTTCTCTCTTTAGTGGACCTACAGTTTCCTTGACTTTTTTCTTATTATTAATATATTGAAATAAACTTTTTTTATTGTTCTTGATTTCTGTTGCAAGTCTTTGTTCATTCTGAGCCTTTGCTTTCCTGACTTCATCTTTGCATGTTCTGGTTGTCTGCTGATAATCGGCCTTAGTTATGTGTCCCCTCTTTCCATCTTTTGTACTTGTCCTTTTTGTCTTTCAGCTTGTCAGAGCTTTATGCAGCAATGCTGGTTTCTTCTGGAATTTCTTGTTTTTCTTTGTCAGTGGTATTGTGCTGGAGTGGGCTTTTATGATCATATTTTTCAGAGTTTCGCATGCTTCTTGAGTTGTTTTCCCCTTTAGGATTTTCGTCCATGGAATCTTTCCTAGATTATCTGTGAGTTTGTTAAAATCGGCTCTTTTGAAGTTTAAGAAACTGGTTGGATTATTTTCTATTGCTTGTGTTTGCATTATAGTGAATTTCAGTATGACGTGGTCACTTTCACCCAAGGTTCGGCAACTTCAACTCCCTCTATCACTTCTTCTCTATTAGTAAGAATTAGATCCAGTATAGCTTTACTTCTAGTTCCCTCCTCTACCTTTTGGATGGTAAAGTTGTCGGCTAGGTTGGTTAAGAATCTGTTTGATCTCCCACTCGCTGCAGTTGATATCTGGATAGTTGAAATCTCCCATTACTACTGCAGTATGCTTCCTACATATGTTTGTTAACTGGTTGGTAAAGAGTTCATCTATTTCTTCTGATTGGTTGGGTGGCTTGTAATATACACTTATGGCAATATCACTTTTTTCCCTTTTATATTGATTCATATACATTCTGGAGGGATTTTATCTTTGATCACGTGCATTTCTGTAGATATGTAGTGTTCTCTTACATATAGTGCAACTCCCCCTCCTCTTTTTATAGATCTATTTCTTTTGAACAATTTGTATCCATCCATCAGTATATTCCAGTCATCGGTTTCATCCCACCAGGTTTCTGTAATGCCAACTATATCATACCCACCCTCATGTACTATTGCTTCTAGTTCACCCTGTTTGTTCCCCAAGCTTTGAGCATTTGCATATAAACATTTAAGACTTTTATGCCTGTCCATGGATATGTTTCCTATATCTCCTGATTGTTGTTTGAGTTTTTCTTTTTTCTCATCACTCCATACCTCATTGTTTGATTTGTTTTCTTGGGTTTTATGACTGGTTTTGTGTTCTAGAGATTCTAAACATTGGTCACCCTTCCCCCTCAATTTTAGTTTAAAGCCCTTCTAATGAGTTGGGCCAGTTTTTTCCCGAATACATTTTCCCCTGTTTTCGTGAGATGCAGCCCATCCCTTGCCAAGAGTCCTTTGCATAGGAAATGCAGTCCATGGTCCAGGAAACCAAAGTTTTCTTGGTGACACCAATCCTTTAGCTAATGGTTTAGTTCTAGAATTCTTTTTCCCCTCAATGGGTGTTGGCCTTTCATTGGGAGTACTGATAAGAGCACTACTTGTACTCCTAGCTCCTTAACTTTATTGCCTAGTTGCTTATAATCTCTCAATATTGTACTCAATTTTTTTGCTGTGTCATTCGTCCCAATGTGTGAAGGAGGAGGAAAGGGTAGTAGTCTGGGCCTATTTTTGGGGGGGTGCAGTCTGAGGTGCTTTTCTGTCTCAGGTGTGTTTGTTGATGTGACTCTTTTAGGGATGTTTGATGTTGTTTCTTTACTAGTTGTCTGCATGTTTTCTTTGAGGGAGAGGTTGTGGGTCTGCGTATTTCCATCTAGGGCAGTGGTTCTCAACCTGTGGGTCGGGACCCCATTTGGGGTCGATCGACCATTTCATGGGGGTCGCCAAGCAAGGCTGTCCGCCATTTTTTTTGTGCGCCATTTTTTTCCCCTTTTCCGGCGGGTGCCTTACCTCCCTTGGGCTGGGCCAGCTGGTGGTCGGCCTGCTCCGTCTCTGCCGCTTGCCAGCTATGCCTCGGCCGGTGCAGGGGGCAGAACCACGCATGTGCAGCGCTCCCGGGCAGGGAAAGTCCTCGACTTACGACCGGTTGGGTAGTCCTCGACTTACGACCGGTTTAGTCCTCGACTTACGACCGGTTTAGTCCTCGACTTACGACCGGTTTAGTCCTCGACTTACGACCAGTTTAGTCCTCGACTTACGACTGGTGGGGTCGCGGCATTAAAAAGGTTGAGAACCACTGATCTAGGGGAAGAAATCGATTGCTCAGTTTTAATGGGGCTGCTTCTGGTTGGGTTAGATTGGGCAGTAGGGGTTTGTTAGATGTATGCTGATTCTTTCTTTGATTATTGTGTTTCCTTCTATGTGTGACATATCTCCATTTGTCTTCTTCCAAGGGTTTATCAGTAGGGTCAAATCCTCTTGGAGCTATTTGTTCATTATTTGGTTCGGTTTGGGTATAGCTTTCTTTTGTAGGTTGGAGTTTGGCTAGAGTTGCCTCTAAATGCCTTACTTTTTCCTCTAGTAGTTCACATAGTTTACATCTAATGCATATATAATTTGGGTGTTCTTTGGGCATAAGCACATACTTAGGTATAGAATAGGGAGAATCTGGCTTAGTAGTAGTGACTGAGAGAGAGCTAGGAGTCCTAATGGACAACTATTTAAGTATGAGCCAAGAGCGTGTTGCAACTGCCAAAAAAGCCATTGCAATCCTAGGCTGCATCAATAGAGGGATAGCATCAAGATCACAAGAAGTGATAGCACCACTCTATATCCCATTAGTGAGGTCATACTTAGAATACTATGTCTAGTTTTGGTCATCATTATACAAAAAAGATGCTGAGACCCTAGAAAGGGTGCAGAAAACAGCAACAAAGATTATAAGAAGTCTGGAGGCTAAACCAATAATGAACAGTTAGTTATGTCTAGCTTGAAAAAAGGGCTAATGTGTGAGATTATAGCTATCTTCCAGTTACTTGAGGGGCTGTCACAGAGAAGAGAGAGCTTAATGAGAAGCAGTGTGTGGAAGCTCATTAAAGAGAGAAGCAACCTGGAACTAAGGAGAACTCTCCTGACAGCAAGAATAACTAATCAGTAGAACAGCTTGCTTCCTGAAGTTTTAGGAGGGTTAATATAAGACTGTACCCCTGTGGGGTCAAGGGTTATTGAAATGATAGCTCATGTCCTCTTATATTGCATCCTCTATAAAGACCTTCATTATAACTCCTTGATAAAGTAGCTGATTTTTAAGGTACAGTTGTTATTATCAGGCTAGCATGATTTAGCTTCCTTGAGCATAGCCTAATTTTGTTAGTTTGCCTGAAAAATTAGACACAACTTGATTGCCCACCAACGAGCCCAAAAGCAATTGTACTATTCTTATTCAGTTTTGTTTTTTTATTCTTATTTTTTTAAATGTGCTTTATTTTTAACTCTTAGCAGTCTGTAACTGCAATTAACTCTTATCTTAAAAATACAGATAATGAAAAATCTGGAAAAGTATCTTGGCTACAATAAAGCATTAGAATTGTTGGTATCTCTTTGCTTCCATCTTGTCATCCAGATTGGTTCAGCTGTACTTAAGTTTGAAATATACTGAATTTGCCATAAATAAATAGGTAGATGAGTTGACTCTTGGGAGTTGACAACATAGCCTTTTATTTTCCCCAATGTCCCAAGGACACTGATTTGAAAGGAGAGTAAATCCAGTTCAATACTTGAAAGATTTCAGATATTTATTTTTAGTGCTTTATTTTCCCTGACAACAGGTGGTAGTATCTTTAGAAAAGCCTATATTCTACTTATATGCTGTACTGTTAACGATGATTGCATTTAATTAACAGATATTACCCCCTAATAATAAATTATCTTTCACTAGGATATTATTTTGAACATCTCTGAAAATGTCTACTCCTGATCCTCCAATGGGAGGGACACCTCGTCCCGGGCCTTCGCCTGGTCCTGGTCCTTCTCCTGGTGCTATGCTGGGCCCTAGTCCTGGGCCATCCCCAGGTTCTGCACATAGTATGATGGGTCCCAGCCCAGGACCACCATCAGCAGGGCACTCTATACCACCACAAGGGCCTGGAGGTTATACTCAGGATAACATGCATCAGATGCATAAGGTAAGCTAGCTTAATATTCTTTCATCTGTGCACATCTTTAACAATATGAGTTTGCTTTACTCAGATAGAAAAGGAAATAGGGGGATCAGTCCCTTTATTATTTCAGAGATGAAATGTAGCACAGCAGAATGTTTTGTTTAGTGTTAACTTTCAACAAGGGGGGAGTTGTATTTCTGTGTTATATTTTATTCAGGAATTCAGGTTGGTGTACATAGAACTCTCTCCTCCTATTTTTCCTCCCAAAAATGTAATAATAATAAAACATATAATAACAGAAGGTGACAACCTTATTTTTAAGGTATGCAACCAGTAACCAAATAGGTCTTATAGAACAGAAGACATTCCATGCCTTTCCACAAAAAAAGAATTTTGCAAAGAGAAACAGTCTACATTGGAATAGTTTTCAAGGAGTAGCTGTGTTAATCTTGTGTTGTAGAAGCAAGAAAATATTCTGCAGCACCGTAAGACTAACACATACGTTATCACTCATGCTTTCATGGATCACAGTCCAAGCTAATGAGGCACAGGTAGTCCTTGACTTATGACCACAGTTGGGACTGGAACATCTCTCACTAAGCAAGGTGGTTGTTATGTGAGTTGATTTTATAACCTTTTACAGTGGTAGTTAAGTGAACCCAGCTTCCCAGATTGATATTGCTTGTCAGACGCTGGCTGGAAGGATTGCAAACGGCAATCACCTGACCCTGGGATATTGCAACTGTTGTATATCCAAGAGCCTGAATTTTGTACAGATGAGCACAGAGACGCTGTGATGGTAGTAAGAGCAAGGACTGGTTACAAATCACTTTTTCCAGTGCTATTGTAACTTTGAAAGGTCATTAAATGAATGGTCATAAGTCGAGGACTACCTGTAATAGGATTGTTAATGTTACAAGATACTTTTGTTATATTACTTTGGACTATATTTTATTGACTTCTTTGGCTTATATGCTACTCCATTTCTGAAACCATTGAGCAGCTTATTAAGAACTACACAAAAAAACTGAAATGACAACAGATCAACATTTAGGACAATCACTGCTCTGATGCACCACCGTTTTGGGGAGGGGGAGGCATTGTGATCTTTTGTTTGTCCCCAGATTTAACAGGGAGGGAGTGTTTTTTGACAGAAACAAGAGCCATCACTGAGAAGGGTTGTATAGAAGGTTTATGTTAGGGCAGTAAGAGTGAAGATCAGAATAATACTAGAAGCTATTAACAAAATGCCAAGCCAAATACTTTTAACATGCTGTGAAAGATAATACAGGTCTTGGGATGCAAAGTTATATGATACCAACACACCAAAGGTGTATTAGTGCGTATACATAAATGAAATAAAATAGTTCCTGGAGTGAGAAAGGCAGAGGAAAGTGGTTGTATAAAATACATATTTATAAATAAGGTCTTTGCCTTCTAGTAATGTGCCATTGAGAAAATAATCCAAAATCTCACTTGCATGATATATACATATATCAATTTTCCACAAGTTAGTATTTGTGAATTCTGGGAACTAGATAATGTGTGTATCTGCACAATGTATTAAATCAGCCTGACTGGTTAGTGTCAATGGGCATGCCTCCTTATTGTCTTTTGCATAGCTCCTTAACCTACTCAGCAGCTCTTTTGTGGTTCACTATGACACGTTTATCACATGTTCCACATTCTCATGTCCATGTACACCATAAAAAAGATGCTGAGTGTAGTTAAGAAGTCATGGAGGACAAGAGTAAAAAATGTGGCATGTATATTAAGCTGATTTAGTTATTCCATTGGAACAGATTTGTTTAGAGGAGTTCTTTATGTGGGCTTTGTATTATTCCAGCCAATGGATTCCTTGCATGAAAAGGGAATATCGGAAGACCCTCGTTACAGTCAAATGAAGGGCATGGGAATGAGGGCTGGTGGGCACACAGGAATGGGACCCCCACCAAGTCCAATGGATCAGCATTCTCAAGGTATGGATTTCAGGATTTGTGTAAATCACATTGCTGGTTAAATGTAGCATTTGTTCTACAATTAAATCTCCTTCTAAATCTCCTGATTCTTCATAACTTTAAGATAGCTTCTACAAGAAGCTTTCTCTGTCTGTAAAGGATTTTTGTGTAATTTAAAACCACATTTTCTAAGCCTGCAAGAAGGAGGGTCTCTCTGCTGTAAATATTGGCCCTCAACATGTTGAGGCTAAGATTCAAACTGAGGAGTGGAGGAATACACCATTCTTCTCATATGGAGAAGTTACACCCTTTTGGAATGAGTCATATGAAAAAGAAAATATGTAGGTAAATACAACCTCAGATGAACAACAACACATGACATATTACCCTATGTCATTTATTTTACAAAAAGAAAACCAAAATATGCCATTCTGGTAGCTTCTGCCAAGCTTTGTCTACTACAATGCAAGCAGGAGCTCCAGATAAAACTGCTTTACCCTTGATTGTGGGACGTACAAAGCAAATTAAGTCTTCTTTCTATCTCTCCCATTTTTATTTCTTTTCTCTTTTTGTCTTGCCCTTTTTCAGGTTACCCTTCTCCACTTGGTGGTTCTGAGCATGCATCAAGTCCAGTTCCAGCTAATGGCCCATCTTCTGGCCCCCAGATGCCATCTGGCCCTGGTGGAGTCCCATTAGATGGTACTGACCCCCAAGCATTAGGGCAGCAGAATCGGGGCCCAACTCCTTTTAACCAGAATCAGCTGCATCAGTTGAGGGCTCAGATCATGGCCTACAAGATGCTTGCCAGAGGTCAGCCGTTGCCTGACCATCTTCACATGGCTGTGCAGGGAAAAAGGCCAATGCCTGGAATGCAGCAGCAAATGCCAACTCTACCTCCACCTTCTGTATCTGGAACAGGACCAGTGCAAGGACCAGGGCCTGCACCTGGACCAACACCTCCGAACTACAACAGACCTCATGGTGAGTTTCACTAAAGTCTTTGGGATCCATCTGGGGTCTCTTCTGGGAGGTCTTTCCTTTGCTTAGACCAGAGGAGTGAAAAGCTTAATGGTCTGCCTATGCTTTCCCATGACTTCACAGGTATGGGAGGGCCTAATATGCCCCCTCCTGGACCCTCAGGAGTTCCGCCAGGAATGCCTGGGCAGCCCCCTGGTGGACCACCCAAGCCCTGGCCAGAAGGTAAGGCTGTGTATTGGAGGACTTGGGTTTTTCATTGCTATATTGTTTCATTAACATCTCAATTATTAAAGGTTTCCAAGCCTCAGCCTGGCTTTTGCTGTAAGAGGCTACCATGTCACATTTTTTCAGTGATATCCATATGATTTTTAGTGCTTGAAAATATGTCATCAGTCTGAAAGTTGCCACAAGTCACTGTGTTTGAGGATGGGTATCTGTCGGCCTTGCAAAATAATCCACACAGGAAGTACTCCTAGATGAAGTAATTCTATTTTTTTGTAAATTACATTAATAGAATCTTGGTAGTCTGAAAGTACTTTTCTCCCCCATCGCCTTTACAGCTCAAAAAACTAGGGAGGGTTCCTTCTGAAGCCTTGCCATTCCCATATTCCTTCTCCAAACTCAGCTGCCTCTTATCCCACTGTTCCCCTGGCTGTGCCTCCATTTCCCAAGGTTCTTCCCACAAGCCACTTTACTTGTGTTTTCAAGGATAAAGTTATCTACTTTATCAGAAAATGTTCCTTTTTCCTTTATTCACAAGATTTGTATCCCATACTCTATTCAAAATGACCCTCAAGGTGGCTAACAATACGGTATAAATAATACAAATAAATAAAAAATAATGCATGAACACCCAGCAACCCTGAATTCTTCTGTCAGTATCAGTATCCTATTGGAATGCTATGATAGAACATCACTGCAATTTAATGAATAGTATGGAGAAAAGCTATGATCAGATAAAATTATAATCAAATTTTGTTCAACCTATTACATGGATAATTCTCAGAAATTCTGTTCATATTTATGCAGCTTTGATTGAGAGATCTTTGGATAGGCTAAAAAATTATTTATTAATTATTAAATAATTATTTATTTAAACAATTTACATAGCCACCTGTCTCACAACAATGACTGGGCTTAATGGTTAAAATAGTGATGCCCAAGATAAAACAGTTAAAAAAAAACCTATATCAATGACTGGCCTCACCTAATTTGGCCCAAACTTCTGGGGAATCAGCCAAATCTTTAGAGCCTTATGAAAAGCTAACAGGATTTAATTTTGTTAATTGCCTCTCAGGTCATTTACTGCTTTGGGAACCAGCATAATGTAATGGCCATACTGCAGATGCAGAGTGGCATCACATTTTAAGATGGACAGTGATAGACCCCCATTCCCAAGATGAAAGTATAAGATGAAATTTCTAAGACAGGGAAGTACTAGCATATTCTTGCCTTTTGCTCTTTAAATAAAAAGCATCGACTTATTCAAGTGACTAAGTACATTCACCTAAATGTTGAGGCCAGTTTCTGAAGATTTCATTATTTTGCATATATGCCCCCAGGTTTGTATATGAAGGGACCCCACAAATATCTTCCTAACATTGTTCTTCAACAGGACCAATGGCAAATGCTGCAGCCCCTACTAGCACACCTCAGAAACTGATTCCTCCTCAGCCAACAGGCCGTCCTTCACCAGCACCCCCAGCGGTACCTCCAGCAGCATCCCCTGTCATGCCTCCCCAAACTCAGTCACCCGGGCAACCAGCCCAACCTGCCCCAATGGTGCAATTCCATCAGAAGCAGAACCGTATCACTCCAATCCAGAAGCCAAGAGGACTTGATCCAGTTGAAATCCTTCAAGAGAGAGAATACCGGTAAAACTATAGCTTTCAATAACAACTTTGCTGATGTTGCCCTGATAGGATATGTGGGTGACATTAATTTGAATGAGTGGTCTTGTTGATGTTATGGTTAGCTTTCATGTTAACTGTATTAAGGAACCAAACTACAGGGAATAGGTAACAAGACAGCATTATAAATTTAGCAATGTATTAGAAGCTTCCTGGTGTCTGAGGGTAGATTCCATTACTTGGAACAGTGTTTCTCAACCCTCTGCAACTTTAAGATGTGAATTCCCCAGCCAGTGCGTTGCTCAGTTGAGAAACAGTGGCCTAGAGAGAGAAGCTCCAGAGAGGAAGGGTTTTCGAACTTTTTCACATCACAGAATCTGTTAGTTTAAAAACAAGGTAATGACGGTCATGGGTTTATTCATAGGAGATCAAGCCCTAGCCCTTTTGCTATATCTAAGAAAATTTGCTATGTATGTCCCTGGCTACATTCAAGGATTTGGGGATGGGGTATTTTTAGTCTTTCTTCAGATCCCTCTATTTTACCTGCTGGCATTTTATTACTGCTTCATTTTATTACAGCTTTGGCTGTTTGTTTAATCATTTTTGGGGTCTGCTATTCTGGTGGGAGAGGGGTTGCTTGCTGGGGGATGTATTCGCTTTGATTGCTCTTTGAGTTGCCCTCCCTCCGAGAGAAAGGAATGTGGCCTGAAGACTTCTGCCTTATCCGCCTGGGACCATTGGGAAACGAAACCAAGAGATGCGTGCTAAATTGCCAGACTCTCAAAACATCTTAGCACCTATGGATTGGTTGGAATTTAAACTGACTGTTGGACACTGGGGGGAGGAGTTTTGAATGAGCATTGTGATGTAACCTTTCACGCGTGAAATCTTCAGACCTTACTTTGCTCTACTGCTATCACTACCTCTCAATAAAAGTTCCTTTTGAAACAGTGCCTGTTTCAAGAGTTCTGCTTTCTTGGGAGACCTAGTTGAGGCAGATCCTTACATAAAGCAAGGTCTGCAATACTGCCCAACCCAGAGAGGAAATTTCCCTACCGCGGGGGTGGTGGTGTACAAGATATCTCAGTAAGGCAGCAAAATGGGAGAAGCCGGGACCAAAGACTGGAGCGAGTCGGCTAACCAGGCCTGTCCTGAAGAAGGCACCTCCAGTTGGCTGGAGGAAGCCACTGCCTTAGAAGACTCCACAAAACCGAGATGGTTAGGGTTATGGTTAGGGAAGAGAGAGGACTGGGAAGAGAGAACCCAACAAGTAACTCTCACCCGAGGAGGCGGAAAAAAGACTTGGAAGAAAAAGGTGGAGTTGCCTTCTGATGAGGAAGAGATGGACAAGCAATTGGACCAGATGGAGGGCATCTTAAAGTGGGCCATGCAGTACATAGTGGAAGCGTTCGATGAACTAAAAGCTAAATCTCTGAGCGGTCCAGAGAAGGAGGAGAACCAGTTGGGGGTGTCAAATGCGGGGAAGGAGAAGCCGCGATCACTGAAACCACATGGGAAGCAACAGGCTTTGCTGAGATGGAGTGGTGCGGCAGAGAGCAACACCCCAGAGAGCCTGGACCCCATGACAGCCCAGAGAGAGAAATCCCCCCCGACGAGCCAAAACTGGTGCCGTTGTGGGTGAAGTTCGATGGGGATCTCCAACAGCTGGGGTTCTTCCTGGCTCACGTTCTCACCTACATGCAAGTGTATGGGAGAACCCTACCCAACGATGCAGCCAAGATCAGAGTCGTCACCCTGGCCCTGGAAGGGGCTGCAGCTAGATGGATGCGATGCTCCTGAATTCCGGAATTTCAACCAGTTCATGACAGCATTGATGCACCGGTTCGAGGATCGACTGGCAGACCGGAAGGCTTGGGATCGCATAAAAATGGTGAAGCAAGGACGTCAGCCGATGGCTGAATGTACGGAGAAATTCTATGACTTAGCCTGCCACCTCAACTGGCCTGAAGACATCTTGGTGAGCTGTTTTCAAGGTGGGCTAAATGACATTCTGTACAATGCTTGTGTAGCTCGGGGGGCACCTGCACAATTGTATGACTGGTGTGTCCTAGCCGAAGAAGTGGAAATTGACCACACTTGGAACCAGTACCACCCTGGAAAGCCTGAGAGGAGAAACCAGCCCGAAAGGAGGAAAGAAGCAAGCAAGCCCTCCGCGAACCAGCCGCGATCAACCACCTGCTTCAAATGTGGCAAGGAGGATCATTGTGCCATAGAATGCTGCAACACAACTCCAGACAAGAAAGCAGACCACTACTCAGGAGGAAATCGGGCAAACCCACTCAGCGCTCAAAAGACATGGCTCTGAAAACTTCTGAGATCGTAGAGATCCCCTGAGCCGCAAAGGCGGAGGGTAGAGCTCTGACCCCAACAGATGACAAGTTGGGGACGGCAGAGAGCAACTGTGACAATGACCCTTTGGTAAGTGGGCCGTTCGACCCCATAACTATGCCCATAGAACTGTCAATCCCAGGCACAGGGAGGAAAATGGCCCTTACCACATTGCTGGACTTGGGGTGCACCCGATACCTAATAAGCCCACATCTACTCAGAAAGTTGGGGGTTCTCAAGGACCCAATTGCATTTTGTCAGCTCAGTGGGTCTGTGGTGGTAGGGGGGTGTCCCAGCAAGTTTTGTAACTGAGCCCCTGGGGCTCAGCCACACAGAGCCACACAGGGACTTTAGCTTTCATTGTGGCTCACGGCATGGAATGGCCTCTCGTACTGGGACTGACTTGGCTAAAGAAGTGGAACCCCCTAATCGATTGGAGAGGGGCAATTAAGGTTCCCAAAGAAAAGATACCTTACAAGGACGCACGGGGTTATAAAGTAGAGAGCTCAAAATGGGAACTGGCTTCCGTGCTGAATGAGCAAGAACTGCAGAGCATTCCAAGAGAATACTGTGATCTGGTTGAGGTTTTTAGTGAAAAAAGATCAGATGAGCTCCCCTCTCACTGACCGACAGACTGTGTAATTGAGATCATCCCAGGGACTAAGCTGCCAAAGCTGAAGCTGTATTCTATGACTCCTAGGGAGCTGGATGAGCTGCAAAAGTTCATCGATAAAAACTTAGCCCGAGGGTTTATCCAACCGGCCAAACACCGGGTGGCAGCCCCTATTCTCTTCAGAGAGAAAAAAGATGGGTCTCTTCATCTCTGCATGGATTATAGGTGTTTGAACGTAGTGTCTGTGGAGAATGTGTAACCCCTACTCCTCATGAGGGACATGCTAGTTCATCTGCCCAAAGGGAAGATTTTTTCGAAGCTAGACCTGCAGGAAGCATACTATCACATTAGAATTAAGGAGGGAGACGAATGGAAAACAGCTTTCAACTGGGTGTTTCCACTTCAGGGTAGTCCCTTTTGGATTACAGGGGGGCCCAGCGGTGTTCATGCAGCTGATCAACAAAGTCCTCCATGAGTACCTATATAAAGGAGTTTTGGTGTAGTTGGACGATATCCTAATTTACACCGAAACCAAGGCTGAACATGTGAAACTGGTTAGGACAGTCCTAAAGAAGCTCCACTCTGCCAAACTGTATGCCAAGCTTTCCAAGTGTGAATTCCACCGAGATAGAATTGACTACTTGGGCTACCACATTTTGCACAAGGGAGTGGAAATGGACCCAGAAAAGGTGCGGGCCATCCTGGAGTGGGCCCCTCCTCGCACTAGAAAGCAATTACAGAGCTTTCTGGGATTTGCCAATATTTACAGACAGTTTATTCCCTCGTTTTCCCAAATTGCACTCCCCATTACTAACCTGCTGAAAAGAAAGGGGGAGAACAAGCCGAAACCTAGCCAGCCATTAAAATGGACTGTGGAATGCCAAGCCGCATTTGAAAAGCTTAAGAGACTGTTTTCAGTGGAATTGGTGCTGAAGCACCCGGACCCAGAAAAACTATTTGTAATCTAGGCTGATGCCAGTGATGTAGCATTTAGGCACCATACTGTTTCAAAAGAACCAAAAGGGTCAGCTACAGCCCTGCACTTACACCTCCCAAAAACTGACTGAGACCGAGCAGCGATGGGCTGCTTGGGAGAAGAAAGCTTACACAGTGCACTGTGCCCTCCTTACTTGGAGGTATTTTTTGGAAGGGAATAAAATTCCCTTCCAGGTCTGGACTGATCATAAGAATCTGGAAGCATTAAAAAAACCCTAGAAAGTTGTCTTCGAAACAAGCACGGTGGATTCAGCATTTCCACCAGTTTAACTTTTCTATCCACTATTTGCCAGGGGAAAAAAATATCCTGGCAGACGCCTTACCGAGAATGCTGCAATACAATAGTGTAAAGTCAGGGTTGGTTAAACCTTTGTTTTCCCCGCAACAATTAGCGGCCCCGGTCACTACCAGGGTGCAGACTAAGAGCGCCCCACTATTAGACGATGCAGCAGTGGCAGAGTTCAAAAGAGCACTGGAGAAGGATGAGTGGTTTCAGGACCATGGAAATCTTTGTTCAGTGAAAGATGGTTTGGCCTGGGTTGGTGGAAAGCTGTATGATCCAGCCACCCTGAGACTCAAAATCATGCATGTTATGACTCATAATTGGCGGGACATTTCAGGTTTGTCAAAACCCTTCACCTGCTAAAAAGGTAATTTTGGTGGCCTTTCCTAAAGAAGGACATTGAAAGTTATGTTGCTAGCTGCCCTACGTGTGCGACAGCTAAGAGGAGACAAGGAAAGACGCCTGGGCTCCTGCAGCCAGTCGCGAGCCCTTCAGCACCCTGGAGAGAGATCTCTATGGACTTTATTGTGGAGCAGCCAGAAAGCACAGGAAATACTGTCATTTGGGTCGTTACCAACCTATTTTCAAAACAGGCTCATTTTATCCTATGTCAGAAGATCTCGACTGCAAAAATGTTGGCCAAATTATTTGTGCAGCCTATTTATTGGCTGCATGGAGCCCCACAATGGATAATTTCAGACAGGGATGTCCAATTCACTTCCAAGTTCTGGAGAGCCTTTTTGGGCCTTCTGATCAGGGACTGTCATCTAGTCATCATCCTAA